TTTTTTTTGTTTCCTCGAATGAAAAGAGACATTAAAGGAAAAAACGACGGAGGTGCTGTCAAGCATCTCAAAAGATGAATTTAGACAATGTTTTGAAAAATGAAATAAAAGACTAGACAAGTGTATTAGTGTAAGTGGAGAGTACTTTGAAGGGGATTGAAGGTTTGTGCTTAAAATTTGAATAAATAAGTTAAAAAAAATAAGTTCGGTTTCTTTTGTTTACCCCCTCGTATATGCCCAGGCAAAGTGCATACATCATATTTTATGATCATATAATGATACATATTGGAAATATTCACACCTAATACATTACACATTAACAACCTATACATCACAGAAACTTGTCTCTAGGTCCACGAACAGGCTTACTACGTAGAAAGCTAACAACAAAGATCTACAAATGACATAACATGCCAAATTCTATGCTGTAGAACTGGAACCACAGAATTAATTTGGCATAGATATTCTTAACCTTCCACACTTAATAGTCTTAAATTATTTTAAAGTACTTTCCGTGCTTTTAATATTTTTAATATTTCCGTAATATTTCAACATTTGTATCACCTAATATATCTTGACATATGGTATATATTTCAGTTCTATACTTCTTATATTTTATTTTTTCTTATTTTTTATCCTCTATTTTAATTGTAATACTTACCAACTTGAGGCAAATTTTCTGTGTCGGCAAACCCGACACGTTACAATATAATATGACATGTTGCACTGGTATGGATCCATATCGGTAGTTCAATAACTAAACGTATTCCTATATTAACTGCCTGATGATGGTTTTGTATGACTGAAACATGTAGCAGGAATAAAAAGTCTAATTGTAAAACATTTAAAGCGAGTATATTTGTTGTGTGATAGTTAACCTAATTCCTGTGTGTGTGTGTGTGTGTCTGTCTGTCTGTCTGTAACACACAACAGGATGCAACCAATGAAGATGAGTGTCATACACCATCATCAGAACCTTTATAATCAATCTATAAGAATATTTATAAAGAATGTCATCATTTTGCATGTACCACATATGTTCCTCTAAGAACCTTAAAACCAGACGTGAGCAATTAGTATTCTAGTGTGGCTGTACCAGGATATAGATCATACTTCAATGTACTGAAACTTGCACTCACTTGGACTTACTGTCAGCAGCATCTTCTGCTGACCTCTTGACACCACCTTTAAGTTCTCTCAGCTGTGCCAGAGTTGTGACATCTGAATTCTTATAGCTGTCAAACACTACAGACACTTCTTCACCATCCTCCGTTATGTCCTCTATCGTCGCCTCATAGTACCTGAAAGAAAATTAACCCTTAACGAGCGGTAAAATTGCTTCATGACCAAGCTGTATACACAATGAAAAGTTTAAATAATTTACACAAAGTAAAAATATAGTTATGAAATTTGATTTGTTTCATTCTGGTCCGTCAAACTATTAAGTTTACAATTAAGTTTATTTCAGTCCAATGTGACACATAAAAATAGTTCTGAAAGTTATACAACCCAGCTACAAAAGATTACAATCTTCTGGGATGAGACACTATGTAGTTTGGTTGGTAAGTATAAGTACTCTTCTCTGATGGAGGCACCAGGTTCCTCTGGAATGCTGACATCTATCTGCCACACTACACAGTGTCACATCCTAGAAGATGGTGATCTTATTATTCACCACTGTGAGACTCTCAAATCTCTTGACAGCTATAGAAGTTACTGAAACACAGCTAACAACAATAAACATATTGTAGCATGTAGACCCAATGCTGGGTGGCGATCATGGAATCAGCAAATATATGGTAGCCATTACTGAGTAATGACTTCACAAACATGTTCCCATGGAGACTGAATTAAAAGTGAGAGGTGTTTTCTATGCTGTCCATGCCAAGGAGTTATCAATGGGATATGTTTAGAGTTTAAGTCAGTTGGGCAGTATTAGCCAGCGGGCAACAATGTGAACATAGAGGCTGAAGAATCTCCACAGTGTTATGATCCATTACCAGGAAACAGCTAGTGAAAGCAGACTGAGAAGACTTAGTGTGTGCTCTAGTGATTTGTAAAGTGTGGAGAATAGTGATGGCGCTACAATTGCTTGTAGTAACGAGTTGTGTGTATAAGTGTTCAATAAATCCAATTACCAATCCAAATCCCATCTACAGTCGCTCATACACATGACAGTATATTACGATTTATTTGTGTACCAAATTTCATATGCCTAGTTTCAATGCTTCATTCGTTACCACCATCAAAACAAAGGCTATGAAAATGTTCAGAAGATGAACATATTTTGACATGATGCTTGAAAGCCGGAATATCAAAGCCAGAGTGAGATGTCCATTGCTAGATAACAGCTCAGTAATCATATTTCCGTGACAACAAGGAGTAGTGAATACATCATTGCCTAGGTAGCAAGTGTAAACATGTTCCCAAGACAATGAATACATAACAGTTACTACAGATATGAAAAAAAAAAAAACAGAACTCTTCAAGGAGGTGCATTCTATCCAGTGTGGGGAATACAGGATGAGACCAGACCAAGAGTGGATTCATTCATTCATTCGGTTGTAAAACCTCGGTCAAGGCAGTTCAATACTGAAGTGTTGAAGACTATGTGCTATAGTTACAGCAATCTTGAGTGTGTATGAACTGATCATAGTTACGACTTATGAATATCCAGTAAATTAATTTGCCAATCCAAACCCTGTCTACAAGTCACTAATACATGTAACAATATTCACATAGAAAAAATTACCTTAACAAAAGTTGTACATTTTTAAGGTCTATTACCATACATTATTTGAGAACACTAGGGGTGCCAGTCTCTCTCCCAACCCACATGTCAACATATTCTTATTAATGACTGTAATGGAATGTTTGGGTGGCTTCCACCAAGTTTATGAAAATTGATCACCTGGTTGAAAAGTTGAAATAGGGTCATATACAGATGACATGATGTTCTGAGAAGCCTCCTTTCTCCCATAAGGAAGGGAAGTAGGCTAATATGTACATGGCTGTTGGTACCATTAATGGTGACTGGCAATTTAACAAACCAAATTCTGATACAGGCATAATATCCATGTTATTTAATTTATATGCATATTAAACTGTATGTTGAAATATATGCAGCATTTAATGACACTGGGTAAAACAGAAAGTACATGACAGCCAAACAACATATTACATTTAATTCTTAAATTTAAGATAATACAAATTATAAATCACTCCGTCCAATGTGACCTGTAAGTCTTTTACTACATACAAACTTAACACCCTTACATGTTTCGGTCTCTGTGGATCATCCTCAGAGGGCAAACATCACTACAAATAGGAAACCACTATCACATAATTTGTTTACACGCAAGTACGTACACTTATATGTTACAACACACAGTACACAGAATAGAACATTTCACAAACACAGCAGTTTCCTGGGAATGTAAGTTTTAAAAAAGTTTCCCAGGAAACTGCTGTGTTTGTGAAATGTTCTATTCTGTGTACTGTGTGTTGTAACATATAAGTGTACGTACTTGCGTGTAAACAAATTATGTGATAGTGGTTTCCTATTTGTAGTGATGTTTGCCCTCTGAGGATGATCCACAGAGACCGAAACATGTAAGGGTGTTAAGTTTCTATGTAGTAAAAGACTTACAGGTCACATTGGACGGAGTGATTTATAATTTGTAATTGTTATTGTGACGGACCAGAATGAAACAAATCAAACTTTAAGATAATACTTGATGAACCACTGTGGTTAGCATATGCTGAGATAAATGATTCTACAAAGATTTTACAAAGAAATTCGTCTGTATGTATCTGGGCGTGTAGTCAAGAACCAATGATGTGACTGCACAAACCTTTCATGTTATATTTAAATATGAAAGTTGATCAGCCTTGTGTACTTTGTATCTTCAAGTTGCCCTGTGCTGAATTAAGCACTTAAGTCTCCCATTCTGGTTTATCATGTGATTCCCCCTCCAACTGTTCTAGTATGTTCTGCAGCTTGGTCTAGTGACGGAAACAAGGACCTTACCTAATCCGTCACCAGCAGTCAGTCAGTGAAATACTGTTTAGGTTTTCTGTGTATCAAATTTCTGTTGGTTCCTCATACTGGCTGCTGAGGGCTAGCATCCCCCTTATAACAGCTGTTGCAAATAAGGGGTTTCTCTGAGTTGGTATTATGTTATTTGGCTGGGGTTTTTGAATTGCCCCATTTTTGATGGATTTGATTTTTGAAATCATCGTATGCTTGTATTTTTTGTAACATCGTTAGGATATATGTATTCTGGTTGGGTCAGAGTGCCAATGTTGATTGATTTAAGAGTTAACTCGTATAATTTGCATCCAGCTGGTCAGAAATTCAAATTTCTAGATTGTAATGCTCTCTGAGTTTGAGATATATATCATTTGTTACCATATGAATATTGTGCCTTGTAAGTATTAAGTTACTTTTACTGATCTGTTTCATGATTATTATTTGTTGTATTAAATATTTCTTTTTTTATTACCTTCGAGATTTTCTGGCGGGGGGGGGGGG